GGCGGGGGTGGCAGCTCGGCGCCGGGCTTGCTCTCCCCATTGCGCATGGTGTCCGCCGAGATGGGCGATGCCTGAAAGAGAGTGCGGGCAGGCGTCGCCCGGCGCCACCGCCGCCGAGCCACGTGCAGGCTCACAGCGTGGGGCGGAGGGCTCACCTCCTCGCTGTGCGCCATTCGCCGGGGGCCGGGCTGCTCGGCTGCGCCGTGGCCCAGGTGCTTGTAGTAGTCACCGGTGCTCGGCTGCTTGCCGAAATTCCTCGACCGCCTGGTGGAGTCGGCCCTGCGCAGGCCCTCGGGGCTGCTCTCGTGTGACACCAGCTGCAACGGGGAGCGTGGCTCAGTGCAGCCGTGCCTGGCTGCGACCCGGGTGGCTGTGGGGCAGAGCCATGGCGGAGCGGGGCCGTGCCAGTGGTGGCCGTGGGGCAGATGCCCGGCTGGGGGGACGGCAGGTGCGTGGCCCAGGGGTCCGCTCGGCACGAGGCTGCACCAGGGGCTGCGTGCCAGGGTGGCGGCATACGCCATCAGCGCCTGGCACTGTGACCCCACAGCCTGTGCCCAGGAGCCTGGCCGAGCCTCCCCCGGGATAACCCCCTGGGAACAGGAGTGCGAAGCCCCGGCCCCGCGGATTACCGGGAGCTTATCCCCCATGGGGCCAGGGCCCGGTTCCAAACCTCCCTCTGAAGGGGGCTCTCAGGCAGCGCAGCCTCGGCTCACCCCGGCACATACCGCAGCGGCTTTGCAGGTCGTACTGCCGAGTGCTGGCGCTGCAGGGGGCCGTGCCTGCTCCCCGGGTCTGGGGGGGCCACAGCAGCACGGCCCTGCTCCCTGTGCCGGGGCCCTGCTATTTGCATTTCCCTGTGCGCCACTGCCGCCCGTGGCATTTGCACGGCAAGCCTGGGCGCTCGCCGCCACCGCCAGCCCCAGCTAAGTCAACAAGCACCAGCTCAGCGCTTCCTGCTCTGGCTGCCATGGGCGCCGTGCCAAGCCTGGCTCCCGCTCCAGCGGCCCCAGCCCCGGTCCGGTGCGAGGGTCTGTGCCACTCAGCCCCGCTGCATGGGGCGCCTGTGCCGCTCTGGTACCGGGCTGGCACGCGCCCGCACCTCCCCAGGGCGGCCCGGCTGTGTAGCCCTGGGCAGGGCTGCTCGTTGCCCCGGTAAGCGCTAACAAGCCAGGACCGTGCACAATGAGCACAACGGGGTCCCGAGGCCCATGTGGGCCTGGAACACTGCTCCGACGAGACCCCCCCATCCCTTGTGCCTCTGTCCCCGGCGGTGCTGGCCTCTGCCAGCGCCCCGGCCATGGCTGTGCACCAGGCTCCCATCCCCGGTGGGGTGGCGAGAACCAGGGTAGGGGGTCGGGACGGGCCCAAGCCCACCGCATCCCTGTGCCCCCCCAGGGGGCTGCACCCCTCTTACCTGTGCACGCCTGGCTGAGCCCTCTCCACTCCTGGCAGCACCAGCTGTGCCACCTGACACCTGCGGCGCAGGCGACACCGGAGCCGGCCACTCAGGTTACAGCCTGCGCAGTCGCCCACGCACAGCTTGGTGTGGTGCCGGTGGCATCGCTGGGGCCACGTGGGCACAGCTGCGCCGGCCGGCCACATGCCGGCCTGCACGGTGCCGCCAGGTGCCCCAGCCAGCACAGCGGTGGAGCAGGGCTGCCCAGTGCTGCGGAGGCACCGGAGCATCACCAGCCCTCGCTCGCTGCAGCCTCGCTGCTGGTTGCACCCCAGCCCCCCGGTGCATGCCAGCGTCGCGGGCACGTGGCCTCAAACTGGGGGTGTCCCCTCCCAGTGCTGTCAAGAGCTAACAGCTCCCCACGGGGGATCAGTGCCCGGTGGCATGTCCCCCCTGCCAGTGGCACGTCCCCTGAGCTGCGTGGCCAGGAGCAGCTGCGCACAGGGCATGGGACATGGCGCACGGGGCTGTACCTCTCGGCGCAGTGCCTGGCTCTCCACGTGCCGCAGGTTGTTCTTGGCCCGCACGTAGATGTCGGCAGTGTGGGGGGCGGCGGGGGGCGC